CATTTCCTTTGCCCGGTAAAGCACTGAATCTCTTGAAATTTAGAATTATTGGAAAGGGAAATGTTGTTATAAAAGCAGGTATATAATTCATTTCCGGGCTTTCAATGAGGACCGAGCGCCGACGCTTTAAAAATTGGGAAAATCACGTCAATTAAACGTCAACAACTGGTAACAGATTATGCCTTTAACAAAATATTTTCATATTTGGAAATGAATCCTTTTTTCCTTGAGAAAGAAAACGTACAACAGAAAGGTCACGTTAAAAAATTTCTTTATACTTCAGGTTAGTTCTAGCCATGTCGGCGTACAACTAACCACCTGAGTAAAGGTCAATAAAGGCGATCGATGGCAATCGTGACTCGTCCCATAAGATTTTTAGAACCTCTTTTATATTGTCTTGCATACTTTCGCTACACGTTTACCTCCCATGAAATTAACATTGATTTAGTTACATTTTAGAACGGTAAACCTACAATGGCTCAAACAAAACACCCCGCGAATTGCAATTTTCCTACATTCAGATCCTCAGTGTGTAATTATGAATAAATTTACCTGTCACTCAACAACATTCCCACAAGCGGCCGAGGTGCAAGTTGGGCTATTTTGGTACGTTGTTGCAGGAACAGAAGAACCAAATTGAAACACGAATGCTGATTGCACGGAGGTAAACTGAAAAATGTAGGAAGTGATATGAATAAATAACTAATATTTCGTAACAAAGAGGACGTTAACATGACAGAAATGAAAGCGCCATAGATCTTAACACCGATAAAAGTAATCCGCATAGGTAACAATCATTTTCCCCGTTTAATTTAAACAACACAGAATCGAGGGCACAAAAAAATAATAATATTCATTCGCTCTTCCTTGATACGGCCATGTAAATTTTAAACCGAGTTTCTATTTGTTGAAGCGAGAGTTGATGTTCTGCGGCTCTTAGCCTTTTGTTACTAACAACTGCCGCTAGAGTTGCCGCAGTTTAGAGAAATTTAATGTTATCGTTCTGAAAATTGACAAGACCGTTAGTGTATTTGCGTAAATAACTTATATTTTTGGAATTATTAGTACCTCAACATGAATCTGGGCCGCGCCCATGAAACACGATTTGGTACTTTTAGGGGTGTTTTCGAAATTCTCCGACGAGCACCCCTGTCATTCTTGTATGGGAGTTCCACATGGGTTCATATTGACCTTTCAGATGTAACAGTTAGTCGCAAGACGCCCTACATCGATAAAACTGCAGTCGCTTTGCGAGGAATGCGCATGTCAGCGTTGAGGAATGAGTGGGGAGCAGGAAAAAAATTGACGAAGATCATGTTTTCATGCTATTAGTAATTATCTGGGAATACGCTTGGAAAATGCATCAATCGCGCGCTCGGGAAAACTATAGAAAAACGTTCAGGAAAACAAGCTATCAGTGGCGTTTTCGTGGAGTAGGAAAACAATCGACGAACTTCTTGTTTTTGTGGCATTAACCGTTCGCAATTCTGCAGGATAACGCTCGACAAATGCAACGTTCGCGCGCTCGGGAAAATCATAGAATAACGTTCAGGAAAACAAGCTAGACACTAGCATTTTCGTGGAGCAGGAAAACAATCGACAAACATCATGTTTTCATGGTATTTACCTTTGGTAATTCTGCGAGAAAAACGCTCGGAAAATGCAGCGATCGCGCGCTCGGGAAAACTTTAGTAAAATGTTCAGGAAAACAAGCTATACAATTGCGTTTTCGTGGAGCAGGAAAACAATCGACAAACCTCATGTTTTATGGCATTCACCGTTAGTTATTCTGTGGGAAAACGCTTGGAAAATGCCGCGTTCGCGCGCACGGGAAAACTGTAGAAAAACGTTCAGGAGAACAGGCTATTCATTGGTATATTCCTGGTGCTGGATAACTTGCGATGAACTTCGTGTTTTTCCTGAGTTTTACTGAGGGTGAGCTGTGAATTTGCCGCACGTTTTCAAATATCGGAAAACGTCAGTTTAATGTTGAATTTCTCAGTCATTCACCATTTCGGAAAATTAACAGTGAACGCATGTTTTTTTGCCGTGAATGTTATTTAACTGTTCTAACAGAACTTTCATTTAGTTATGCCGTAAAGTTCGTCGGGAGCATGAGGAAGGAATCTCTGTTGCCGTCCTGTATACCCTCTGGAATTGTTAACGACGACGACTGATTATAATGAAGTGTGTCAATCAAATGTGCTCCAGAGATAGAAAAAAAATGTTGTTACTGTTCTCACTCGATTCCAATTTTTTTCTAATAGTTGTCTCTAAAGCCGTTTAAGGTGGGATATCCCTGTCGCTAATATTGGAACATTTACTGATGTCGCAACCTCGTTCCCAGGGTTTCTCTTCTTCCCACCCCAATCTGAGAACTAGGTTGTCGATGTAATGAAATGGTCGCTATCGTTTTCCTAAACGTCGTCAATTTGTTCGTTTCCTCGAAAGCCCTGTAAAATAGTTTAGCTCACAACACATAATTAGAAATTTAATGTTCTGTTTACTTGTTTAATATCTTCTCGTTCCTCGTGCAGTTAAAAACACAGGGTCTAACAATCGTATAATCACACTTTTTTCATACGCTTTTTTTAGTTCGATGATTAAACGTTGCTCCCGCTTTACAAAACTGAAATGTTTTGCACTGGACATTCAAAGCCAGAGGATTTAACCGCCAAATAATCTTAGATTTTGGCAAAGATTTGTTGCTTAAAACTTGACTTCAACTGATCAAAGTCTGCAAAATAAAATGATGAACTCAATTTTAGGCCTTTAACTTCCATGATCTTACTAAGTCTCCTTTGCAAATGTAACAAATATCTCAGTAAATATTTTTTAGAGAATGAAGTGTTGCGTCTTCTTATAAAATCTCCGTTTGGACCGGCTCTTCTAATGTTGTTTCCTTGGCCTTCATATGTAGCTTAATGTTTTTCAGTGTCAGTTCAAACGCAGAGTATGCACAAATCGCACAGTATTGCTAAATTTCAAATTAATTCGAGGCGGGGAAGTCTAGTCTACTTCATATTTCAACCCTTTGTGCTTAATTTATGGAGAGGATGATGAGTGATTGATTTTCAGGTTCCTAAACGGCTTTCTTTTGCTGTTGTTCTGTACAAATCGAGCTCAATCTTTATACTTGGTAACCGTTTTTCCCTCTTCGGTTCATCAATTTTTTTTAAAACCATTTTACTTCTATTTTACAGAAGCTTTCACGTCTTTCTTACAATAGCTATTTGCATTTATCTTTGTTTTGCAGGGGAAGTCTTATTCCGGTTCTTGCTTTTGGTTTCATCAGTCATACGACTAGAATATCAAACAAGACAAGCTTCTTGCGTAAAAGGTTAGTAAATTTATAAACAATCTTTCCCGCTTTAAAAAACTGAAATGTTTTGCACTGGACATTCAAAGCCAGAGAATTTAACCTCCAAATAATCTTAGATTTTGGCAAAGATTTGTTGCTTAAAACTTGACTTCAACTGAACATAGTCTGCAAAATAAAATGATGAACTCAATTTTAGGCCTTTAACTTCCACGATCTTACTAAGTCTCCTTTGCAAATGTAACAAATATCTCAGTAAATATTTTTAGAGAATGAAGTGTTGCGTCAATTTGACACCGTCCAGCTGATAAGTTTCTCTATTCTCCAAAACTGTTGGCTGAAGAATATATTGATACTGTAGGGAGAAATTGCACGTTAAACAATTCTTTGGTGTCATAGTCTGGGAGTGAAAGAGTAAAAGCAGATACGCGATGAATGAACCGGAAAATCAGATTTTTAAATCTGAAATCTTTAAAAAAAAGAACATGAAGATGCCATGTTTTTTATTTAAATTACGGGGAAGTTAGAAAGCGACGTAGTTCTGTTTTAGGTTTTCTAAACGATTCTTAGTTTCACCGATGAAGCTGTTACCTTTTTTTCACTCTTGTCAGATTGTCATTCATCTCTGTTTTGCAAGGAAAGCGTTATTTCAGTTTTTTACTCTCGGCTTCCTCAGTCATTCGATCAGAGTACGAAACAAGATAAAACTCTTTGTTCAAGAGTAAGCAGTAAAAATAAAGAAAATATTAGATTACAGTCCCATCTCTCTCTCTCTCTCTTTTATTTAAAAAATGCTTTCGGTGCCCGCTCAAATCAGGCGCAACAGAAATTGAATTCAAGGACAGCGATTTTTGATGTGGAAAGAAAAGCGCTTCAATGTTTTTTCAGCGACGCTATGGGCGAAACAGAAAGTCATATTGATATCTCTCACACCAAGAGATTATCAACTGCAGTTTATAGTTTCTTGTCTTAGACCGATCAAACTTAGCACTTTGTTCTCACACGAGCTGCTTGCATTTATCTCTGTTTCTCGCCACTTTTGGTCTCATCACCCAAACAAAGCGTGTTTATTTTTGAAAGGGTTACCAGCAAAAAAACTAAATTTAGTAATAGTTATTCTTTTCCCGCTTCGAAAAAATATATTTCCAGTTCAGTAAATGTAGCAAATTCAGTGATAAGAAATAGTTAAAGAGTAATTCCAAACAATCCAATGATATTTGTGGAGAGCTTCCAAACTGGAATAAATTTTTGATTTGGACTGCAAAATATTAAAGGTCTGCATCATTTTTAACTTTTAAATTTATGATACCATCAGCAATTCTTCCTTCTAGCTCCCTCACATTACCTTGCTTGTCAGTAGGGAGACTTGAATGTTGTATAAAGAAAAAACCCTCAGCTGATAAGTATTCTCGTCGCTTGTTCACTAAATAATATGTTGATTGTAGAAAGAGAAGCAACATGTTCCTCACTTCTGTAACTTGATGGCTTTAAAAATCGAGCGAAGCAAAATTAAAACCAGCAAACTCTTATCAATAATATGTGAGCTCCAGTATTTATTGAGATCTCTTATGGGCAAGCTGTAATGCAAGTTCCATCCTTATTACGTTTATAATGATTACTTTTAACCGATAATTTTCCTATTCAATCTTACAGTAGCTCTTCGCATTCTTCATTGCTTTGCAGAGAAAGTTTATATCAGTTTTGTGATTTTGGTCTCCTAACTATCCAGAGATCTTTTAGTTTTTTAAGGTGAGCGGTTAAAAATTTATTTCATGAACATTATGCGTTAATATGTTTTGGATGAAAACTTGTTACTCATGAAGATAACACCCTCTGATTGATGAGTCTGTTTACTCTCAACATTGCTATATGGTATATTGTTATGTACTTTGACTTTCTCTAAACAAAACAAGTACTGTGATTGGTTAATTCTTGGTCACGTGCTCTTGATCAAATTCAAATGTATCTCGACCGGAATACAATTTTGCAGTTGTTGCCTGCGCGCCGAATACAACAGCATGATTTTTCCAAATGATTGTTGAAGGGAAAGTCTAAATATATAACAAAGCGGTGAATAATGATTGGAAATATATAAAAATCATATATGTGCAGAGGTGAGAGGTTCAAATCCCGTACGGGCCTGAATTTTTTTCAGGTCTTACTTCAACTACTCGTTCAGTTGTGCTCTTAGCTGCGAGGATCGCTTATGTCCGTATATAACCAAGCATTTAATGTATGGTCCCTCGGGAAACTAGTTAGTTTTGTTTTCTTGTTGGACTCTCGGGAAAACAAAGCTAAATGTTTCCCTCGAGACCATACATTGAGTGTATATTGATATTGTAAGGAGAAACTACAAGTTCATCAGTTCTGTGATGATTTAAACAAAGAAGATCCCGTATGTTATTAGATGAATCTTATGAGCAACTTAAGAAACAATCTTTCTTCCATCTTAGGATTTTTTTATTTTGATGATGACTTCTCACCAACTGTGCGAGTAAAACGTTTGCATTTACATTTGTCTGGGAAAGTCTCATTTCATTTTCTTATTTTTGTTTTCATTAGTCACGCTATCAGGCACTAATATAAAAGGCATGTTCTGTTTCCAAAAGGTGAGCTGTTCGTTTTATTTAATTTCTGCATTTTTATTGCTTCCTCAGTTTCATTTTCCATGAATGAAATTGACTTAATCATTTTACGAAACAAAAATATTGGAGAAGCTGGTATATGACTTACTGAAGGAACGCGTATGAAGAAAGATTTTCCCTCGCCTGAAAAACAAAGCATTTTGTAAGCGGTTGAAACGCTGGGTAGAATTTTTGCTCTTTGCCCAAATTTATGCTGTATTATATCAAAATAATTGATGGGCGGTTAATCATTGACGACAGTTACATGTTCTAATTTCTTCATCTCAAATTAACCAAGCGAGTTTCTAAGACTGACATGTCGGCTTGATCTCTATGGGACAAACGGTTAGAAATACCAACACAAATCTTGCACAAATATCTTCATCAGGGCACAATTGAATAGTTTTATACTTCGTTTAATTGTAGAATTTGGATTTTTTTGTTGGATTTATGTCCATCAAATTTTTCCACGACGCAACGAAACTAGATCTACGTCACGTAGATGGATATCTCCAAATCGATTTAAGATAGATTGATTTACCTCGATTTTGAGACAAATAGCAATGGAAATCAGAGCTGAGTAAGTTTGATGTTTTCACGGAATGGAAGAAGAAATTGACGAGTCACGTATATTTCAGGAGGCAAATTACGCCCCTCATTTGTTCATAGATTCAGTAATCACGCTCGCCTTTCTGTAAAATTTACGCTTCACATTTACTCGTCACGAGTGAATCTAAACATATCACGATTGGTAAATTAACCGCTGGTCTACTGGTGAAACTTTTTTGATAGCTGTATCCAAATCCCCTCTACGATTGTTGTAATTTGAACCCAGATGATACACTTGTGACTGGTCTGAAAAAAAAGTGAAAAAGGAATGTTGCGCTCAGATATCTGTAAAAAGGGAAGAAGGAAGACAACCACAAATTTCCTAAAACACTTTATAAACTACAAAATTTATCAGTGTTTCTTTTTTTAAGCTTCCCTTTCTTGTTGATTCTTTCCTACGACAATAAACAGGAGAGAGCCGTAATGAGTGACGCTGCAGAAATCCTAAAATCAGTCAAGATGGGTTTAAATGTCGTCATATTTCTTCTGAACACTGATCGAGGCCTACAAGCGACTGAGTTATGTAATGAATGTGTAATTCTACTTCAAAACCTTGACTCTGGTAGTCACCTTGATATCTCCGATGTACTATTCAATGCGTATTACGCCATCTCTGGTTACGCAGATGCAGAAAGACATGCCACCAAACTTCTTGACACATTTCACCATGCTTGGAGACTAAACATAAAACTGGGAGACAAATATGAAGCACAAAGCCGGTTTGTGGAGGCCAAGCAACTCTTTAAATGCGCACTCACCATCATGAAAACAATTGGTCCCAAAAGAGAAGAAGCACTGGCTCATGGGAGACTTGGAAATGTCTGTGCTAAACTCAGTAAATATCAGAAGGCTAAAGAATATCACGAGAAAGCACTTGCCATCGGAATAGAAATTGGCGACAGAAGAGGAGAAGGAGCAAGTTACGTAAACCTCGGATGTGTGTTTTATTCCCTTGGCGAATATCAGAATGCTAAAGAATATTACGAGAAAGCACTTGCCATCGCGATAGAAATTGGCGACAGAAGCACAGAAGGAACAGTATACGGGAACCTCGGAAGTGTGTTTGATTCCCTTGGCGAATATCAGAATGCTAAAGAATATTACGAGAAAGCACTTGCCATCGCGATAGAAATTGGCGACAGAAGCACAGAAGGAACAGCATACGGGAACCTCGGAAGTGTGTTTCATTCCCTTGGCGAATATCAGAAGGCTAAAGAATACCACGAGAAAGCACTTGCCATCGAGATAGAAATTGGCGACAGAAGAGGAGAAGGAGCAAGATACGTGAACTTCGGAAGTGTGGTTTATTCCCTTGGCGAATATCAGAATGCTAAAGAATATCACGAGAAAGCACTTGCCATCGCGATAGAAATTGGCGACAGAAGCACAGAAGGAACAACATACGGGAACCTCGGAAGTGTGTTTTATTCCCTTGGCGAATATCAGAATGCTAAAGAATATCACGAGAAAGCACTTGCCATCGCGATAGAAATTGGCGACAGAAGCACAGAAGGAACAGCATACGGGAACCTCGGAAGTGTGTTTTATTCCCTTGGCGAATATCAGAATGCTAAAGAATATCACGAGAAAGCACTTGCCATCGCGATAGAAACTGGCGACAGAGGAGAAGAAGGAAGAACATACGGGAACCTCGGGAATGTGTTTCATTCCCTTGGCGAATATCAGAATGCTAAAGAATATCACGAGAAAGCACTTGCCATCGCGATAGAAATTGGCGACAGAGAAGAAGAAGGAACAACATACGGGAACCTCGGAAGTGTGTTTCATTCCCTTGGCGAATATCAGAATGCTAAAGAATATTACGAGAAAGCACTTGCCATCGCGATAGAAATTGGCGACAGAAGCACAGAAGGAACAACATACGGGAACCTCGGAAGTGTGTTTCATTCCCTTGGCGAATATCAGAATGCTAAAGAATATCACGAGAAAGCACTTGCCATCGCGATAGAAATTGGCGACAGAAGAGGAGAAGGAACAAGATACGGGAACCTCGGAAATGTGTTTTATTCCCTTGGCGAATATCAGAATGCTAAAGAATATCACGAGAAAGCACTTGCCATCGCGATAGAAATTGGCGACAGAAGCACAGAAGGAACAGTATACGGGAACCTCGGAAGTGTGTTTGGTTCCCTTGGCGAATATCAGAATGCTAAAGAATATTACGAGAAAGCACTTGCCATCGCGATAGAAATTGGCGACAGAAGCACAGAAGGAACAACATACGGGAACCTCGGAAGTGTGTTTCATTCCCTTGGCGAATATCAGAATGCTAAAGAATATCACGAGAAAGCACTTGCCATCGCGATAGAAATTGGCGACAGAAGAGGAGAAGGAACAAGATACGGGAACCTCGGAAATGTGTTTTATTCCCTTGGCGAATATCAGAATGCTAAAGAATATTACGAGAAAGCACTTGCCATCGCGATAGAAATTGGCGACAGAGCAGGAGAAGGAAGAATATACGGGAACCTCGGAAGTGTGTTTTATTCCCTTGGCGAATATCAGAATGCTAAAGAATATCACGAGAAAGCACTTGCCATCGCGATAGAAATTGGCGACAGAAAAGGAGAAGGAACAAGATACGGGAACCTCGGAAGTGTGTTTCATTCCCTTGGCGAATATCAGAATGCTAAAGAATATTACGAGAAAGCACTTGCCATCGCGATAGAAATTGGCGACAGAAGCACAGAAGGAACAACATACGGGAACCTCGGAAGTGTGTTTCATTCCCTTGGCGAATATCAGAATGCTAAAGAATATTACGAGAAAGCACTTGCCATCGCGATAGAAATTGGCGACAGAAGAGGAGAAGGAACAACATACGGGAACCTCGGAAGTGTGTTTCATTCCCTTGGCGAATATCAGAATGCTAAAGAATATTACGAGAAAGCACTTGCCATCGCGATAGAAATTGGCGACAGAAGCACAGAAGGAACAGCATACGGGAACCTCGGAAGTGTGTTTGATTCCCTTGGCGAATATCAGAATGCTAAAGAATATTACGAGAAAGCACTTGCCATCGCGATAGAAATTGGCGACAGAAGAGGAGAAGGAAGAACATACGGGAACCTCGGAAGTGTGTTTTATTCCCTTGGCGAATATCAGAATGCTAAAGAATATCACGAGAAAGCACTTGCCATCGCGATAGAAATTGGCGACAGAAGCACAGAAGGAACAGCATACGGGAACCTCGGAAGTGTGTTTCATTCCCTTGGCGAATATCAGAATGCTAAAGAATATTACGAGAAAGCACTTGCCATCGCGATAGAAATTGGCGACAGAAGAGGAGAAGGAACAACATACGGGAACCTCGGAAGTGTGTTTCATTCCCTTGGCGAATATCAGAAGGCTAAAGAATATTACGAGAAAGCACTTGCCATCGCGATAGAAATTGGCGACAGAGAAGGAGAAGGAAGAACATACGGGAACCTCGGAAGTGTGTTTTATTCCCTTGGCGAATATCAGAATGCTAAAGAATATTACGAGAAAGCACTTGCCATCGCGATAGAAATTGGCGACAGAGGAGGAGAAGGAACAACATACGGGAACCTCGGAAGTGTGTTTCATTCCCTTGGCGAATATCAGAATGCTAAAGAATATCACGAGAAAGCACTTGCCATCGCGATAGAAATTGGCGACAGAAGAGGAGAAGGAACAACATACGGGAACCTCGGAAGTGTGTTTCATTCCCTTGGCGAATATCAGAATGCTAAAGAATACCACGAGAAAGCACTTGCCATCGCGATAGAAATTGGCGACAGAAGAGGAGAAGGAACAACATACGTGAACCTCGGAAGTGTGTTTGATTCCCTTGGCGAATATCAGAATGCTAAAGAATATTACGAGAAAGCACTTGCCATCGCGATAGAAATTGGCGACAGAAGCACAGAAGGAACAGCATACGGGAACCTCGGAAGTGTGTTTTATTCCCTTGGCGAATATCAGAATGCTAAAGAATATTACGAGAAAGCACTTGCCATCGCGATAGAAATTGGCGACAGAAGAGGAGAAGGAACAACATACGGGAAGCTCGGAAGTGTGTTTGATTCCCTTGGCGAATATCAGAATGCTAAAGAATATTACGAGAAAGCACTTGCCATCGCGATAGAAATTGGCGACAGAGGAAATGAAGGTTTAGCATACTTCAACCTTGGAATGGTGTTCTGGAATCTTAAAAAAAATCGGCAAGCTAAAGAACATTTGGACAAAGCAGTCGGCGTCAGTATTGCAATTGGTAACAGAGAGCTGGAAGCCAGAGCTACTGTGAGTTTGGGACATGTCTTTGATTCTGTAAATGACAGTCAGAAGGCAAAAGAACATTGTGAGAAGGCGCTTACAATCAACAGAGAATGTGGCAATAGAGAGTGCGAAGCACAAGTATACCTAAGCGTTGGACTTCTATCCCAATCTTTTGATGAATATGATAAGGCAGCATATTATTTACAGAAAGCTTGTTCCATAAGCAGCGAAATTGGACACAAAATGACTGAGTTTCAAAGCCTTCTCCATATTACAGTATTAAAGATATCGCAGTTCGAGGTTGTGGAGGCATTGGAATATCTTTTCCAAGGTATTGAAAAATATGAACAAATAAGAACTCTTCAGAAAGGAAACAGTGGATTTGAAATTTCTCTGTTGGAGCATCGCGGTACTTTTCCCTACAAGTTACTCACTCACCTCCTTTGTGATACTGGAAAATTTCGAGATGCTCTCTATGTTGAGGAGCTGGGACGAGCAAGAGTCCTCGCAGAACTCATGGCAGACAAGTACTCCTCTGAAAGCCACATCTCAGCTGATCCACGATCATGGTTCGGGATTGAAAACATCGCGAGAAGAGAAAGTAACTGTGTTTTTTTGTACATTTCGTATGAAGATCGGCAAGTTCTTCTCTGGGTATTGAAAGCAAATGGAGACATTTTCTTTCGAAAAACAGACCAAGTGAAAATAGACACTCTTATAGCTGAGCAAGTTTGCGAAGTGGAAGGAGTTTTCAAAAAGAGCGCCGAATGCTTTGGTGTTTTACCCGCAGCGAACTGCGAAGACCGATCGCTGGATGACAAGGTGACGACATCTCTTCATGAAGAGAGCCAAGCAAATTTGCGAGGTGACGAAACCAAAGGTACCGGACGAAGTCATCATTTGTGCTACGAATGGATCGTCGCACCTGTGGCAGATTTACTCACAGAGCCCGAAATCATCATTGTACCGGATCGTTTCTCGTATCGAGTCCCATTTGCTGCCTTGCGTGATGAACAAGCCGGAAAGTATTTATCGGAGAAGTACAGAATACGCATCGTCCCTTCACTGACAACTCTCCGGCTCATTCAAGAATCTCCAGCAGACTATCACAGTCAAACTGGCGGACTGATTGTGGGTGATCCTACGGTTGGCAAAGTGCAATACAATGGACGTCTCATTGACATTAAACCATTGTTCTGTGCAAGTAAGGAAGCAGAGATGGTTGGTCAACTGCTGGGAGTTCAGCCTTTATTGGGAAGTCGCGCAACAAAGCAGGCGGTTCTTCAAGAAATACCTTCAGTGAGTCTGATACATCTTGCCGCACATGGAGATCCCGAAAGAGGAGAGATTGCCCTCTCTCCTCAATGTACTACTAACAGTACTCCACAAGAGGAAGACTACCTCCTGACAATGTCCGACATTGAAGGAGTTCAAGTACGAGCTAAACTGGTAGTACTCAGCTGTTGTCACAGTGGGCGTGGATTGGTTAAAAAAGAAGGAGTTATTGGAATCGCTCGGGCATTCTTAGCATCTGGTGCACGTTCAGTGTTGGTAGCATCGTGGGCTATAGAAGACAAAGCAACGGCGAAGCTCATGAAACATTTCTATAAACACCTTGTGCGTGGAGAGAGTGCCAGTGAATCTCTTCACCAGGCCGTTCAATGGTTGAGAAGCAATGGATTCTCCAAACCTTCCCAATGGGCTCCGTTTGTGTTGATGGGGGATAACGTGACATTTGATTTTATGAAAAAAGGGTAAGTCTGATTAGAATGAGCAATTTTCTACAATAAATAACAATAAATCGACAATCTTAAAGTCACTTTCGTATCAAGCATGGTATTTTCGACAAGTTTGGACAATCATAACCGATGGCATTGAAGAAGAAAGTAATTTATTTAATTGGAAATCTGTCCTGTTTACTTTAAAGATGAAATAGCGACAAATTTTTATAATGTTTTATCAGGAAAGAAGAACTCGAGGAGGACAACGAGGCGGAGAAGAAACAGAGTGACTACTGATCCTACACAAAGATTCTTCTTCCTAAACATTGTCGTTCAATGGACACTGGTATTACTTTGCGAAGACATTTTCAATTTTTTTATTTAGTCAAGTAGTAGATGTTGGGTGCTTTTGTAGACAGGGCTTAATCGAAAATGCGAAAACTGAACGCAGGAAATTAGCTTAATGTAAAAAAATGTAAGAATGTGGCAAAGTTTCGTCAAAACTCAAAATTAATCCTTGATTTAAATCATTATAGTTCTGTTTTCAATTCTCCCGCTGCACGCACACGTGATCATTAAAGAGTGATTAAGACTGTTCACAGGTGCAGGAGATGATAACATAACAAACTAACAGAAGAGGGAACAAAAAGTGCCGAGATACTGAAGACACAATCAAAAAAAAGAGAAGGTAATTATGTAAAAATCAGACAGAGAAGAGAAAAATGCTTGAGAATTACCGCAAAAATCAAACAGTGTTGTGAACAGGGCGCTACATATTAATCTAAAAGTTAAGTGGAGAAGAGAACAAACAGAGTGCAATATACTAAAAGAAAAGTATTAACAAATAGAGAAGAAGAGAAACGGTGAGCGAATTATTGAGATAAAATTAGGAGAAAACATTGCGCGAGATACTAACGTCAAACAGAAGAGTGCAAACAGTTCGTAGGATATGAACGTGACAATCAGCCAGAATTAACCCTTTAACTCCCATGATCTCGTTAGAAATTCTCCCTACTGTCTGCTATAAAATACGTATGATTTCAATTTGGAGAATTTGGTCTTGGATCAGCCCGTAGTTCCCTAATTGAGTTTTCTTCTTTATTCTCCTCACTTGTCTGCTTGATTCCGTGTTGATATTGTAAGGAGAAATTCTGTCTTGGTCACTCATGGGAGTTAAAGGGTTAAGGAAAAGAACAGAGGGCTAGATTCTAATATAGGAAAGAAATTTAAGTTAAAACAAACAGTGATGTAGATATTAACTTGGAAATCAAACAGAGACGAGAAAAGCATTGTGCAAGATTTAAATGAAATATTTAATCGGAGGAGAGAACGAGCCATGCGCAAGATAAAACTGAACAAAACTACCAAACAGAGCAGTGAAAAAAAAAAGTTCTCAATATAATCGCAACAAACAAAGTAAAAAGAAGAAACAGTGGACTGGACAAACAGTAAAATCATAGGCATGCAATGCATGCAAGAGTTGTTTTTAAGGCTGGGTGAGTTGAGGTGGGACACTGTGTAACTGATGTTTTCATTTTTGTTAAAGAAAAAGAGCCTTAACCTCAAAAAGAACGAAAATAACGCATTAGTTTAGTTAAAAGACAGGAAAAAAAGTTCCTATTTGTCTGAAATAAACTCACACGTAGTTATTTCGTGGTCCATTGTCTATGTGGTCTGAGTAATTAGAAACAAAAATAAACTTACTTTACCTTAAGAGAGAGGGAGGAGAGAGAGAGGGAGGAGAGAGAGGGGAGAGAGAGAGAGAGAGAGGAGAGAGAGAGAGGAGAGAGAGAGGAGAGAGAGAGAGAGAGAGGGGGGGAGGGAGGGAGAGGGGGGAGAGAGAGGGAGAGAGAGAGGGAGAGAGAGAGGGAGAGAGAGAGAGAGAGAGAGATGCAGAGAGAGAGAGGGGGAGAGAGAGAGAGAGGGAGAGAGGGAGAGAGGGAGAGAGAGAGAAAATTTATTTTTATTAACCGCTTTTTTCGGCCCATACAACTTGATTATGGGGGAAATTTTTAGTTCCTCTATTTTGCCCCAACTTCAAGATCGTGGCTCATTACTGTTCCTAATAATATACATGAAAAAATTACTCAGTTCGGATTGGTTAAGATAAATGCAGTTTCCAGGTAATTCAATGCAGAAGAAGGTTAATTCAGTGCAAAGAAGTAACAAACCAGACATTCTGATTGGTCAGTAATCAAAGAAACTTACAGATAGCCAATCAAATGCGAGCCTCGGATGTCGCAACATTTGGATACGCTGAATATTTGCGAGCGAAACAATGGCCGGCGTTTCAAGTAGGTTTTCTTTCGCCACCGCAACAACACGACAGCAGCTGAAAAACAGCTCTAACAACGAAAACACCGTAAAAAGCACTACTCTTTGGTTATCGGTTCGGAAAAAGTGGTGTTTAGAGAAGGGAATTGCCGAGGAAATTGAAAATTACGAGAAGACTCAGCTTAACACTTTGCTCGAGCGATTCCACGCCGAAATTAAAAGCAAACATGATTAAACCTCGCAAACGACGATTCCATTTCATCGAAAGTGACTCGGTGTTTAGCCGAACTTTGAACTTTTTGTGCCCTAAAGATGTGAAAATATCATTGTATATTATTGTTTTGATCGTACGCGGTTGTTTTGCCCGAACGCACCGTTTGAATAAATTATTTTTTCACTTGATGCGCGCGCTTTGCCTCTGCACAATTATGATAAGCTATCTCGTATTTTTTCATGTATGTTATTGATACGTAATCACATGATTTTTCTTGTACAATTTGAAATAAATAAGCACTTGTGAACTGCACTCACTTGGTGAGTGACCAATTGACATCTACGTATTGACAAACGGCAGTTGAATCCCTCGGAGGGCATCTAAATGTCCACATTCATTCTGTGGTGAGACTGGGAGCACATGCGAAAGTTCGGAGTGTCCGACATATCTCCAGCCTTCTTCTCAGATAACGCTCGGGTCCAAACGTTCCTTTACAATGAAATAATACAAAGTTTATGTTCTTGGGCATAACTATGTATTGCGCCCGACTTAGAGTCATTTTAGCCCTTTCCGTTAGGCGAAGGTTATGACTCTGAGAAGGGCCCAAAAACACAATCATGCTTCAGAACATAAATTATTTTACTATCATTTACACTTTTGGAGGGTATTGAGAAAATAAAAACCGAAGAATTGGGAAAAAAATTCAGAAGGAAGGAGAGGGGATTCCGGATGGAGTGGGTCAGTAGTATTCTGGCTATCCGCGGCCCCTTCCCAACACCGTACAAACATGGCCGGTCAGAAGGCTTCACTGCAGGCTAACAATGGCAGAGCGTTACAAGACATTGCAAAGCAAGGCTATACGTGGAAAAGCCCACGA